ATAACATAAACCAAATAAGTTTAAGTTTAATGGCCTTATTCATAAAAAATAAAGTAGGTTTAAAGAGCTTAAATAAAATGACACTTTCATACATTTTTCAGTTTATAAACCTTTTTTATTTTTGTGAATAAGGCCATAAAACTTTACTTTAAACTTTACTTTTAAGTTCACGAAAATACAGAATTTTTAGAAACTTTTAGGGTATGCAGTTTTGTAACCTATTCAACTTTCCGTGTAGCCTACTACCGTTGACTTTTAATTAAAACTTGCACAATATTAAAGCTGAAGCACAACACCGGCGAACGGCAAATTTTTCGTCGCGAATGTTCGCCGAAATAATTAAAACACACTGATTTATATGAGAACTCGCACAATCAAAGCAAACGACGAAGTTTGCTAGACGACTGTTCGCGACGATAGATTTATTTCTATCGCCGCGGTCGAGGGCAACGACAAAAAAAAAGGCCATGATGACCATACTTTAAAAGTTATCGTAATTTTTGTTTAAAAGTAAAATAATATACCTTATATTATTCTATCAGAGATTAATCTAGTAAAACGTAAGTTTACTAGTAGTTATATTTAAAGACTATTTCTATATTTTAAACTTCTTCTTGCTGGTATTTTCCCTCTTCGTTGTAAAAGCTTACTTCTTGAAACATGGTCAAATTATCAGCTGACAGCATTCGAACCGCTCGATACCGCTCTATTTGTGTTTCAGTAAGCGAATTAGCCGGGCGAAAGTTGGTCGTCGGCATCGCTCTGCTGGGCGAAATTTGCCGTTCGCCGGGTATTGTGTTTCAAGCATTATACAAAATTGAATAGGCCACAAAGTTTCCAAAAATTCTTAATAAAATTTAAAATTCGTGAAAGTAAATATGTGTGTATTTATGTATGTACATTTAACGTTTAAATTACTTCTAACGTGGAAGTAAGTTCTGCAATGAAATAAAAATCAAATATTTTAAATGTCTATTGTTTTAATTTCAGGAAATATATATAGATATACGATTGAAGAGCAAAATAATTTTAGTATCCCAAAAAACGTATTTTAATGAATCCGATACTGAGTAGTATCGATACTTTTTCCCTGATACTTTTAGAGTATCGATACCATGAGCTCGATGCCAGAATGAGTACTCAGTATCGACACCAAAGTCAGAAATTTCGAACCCTATGGACTCCAATGGCAAGCTTGCTTGAGATTGTCATCAAAAACCGACTGGAGACACATGTTAACAGACACCTGTAAAGCAACCAGTTCGACCGAGTCTAGGAAAAAGCGATCTACCACAGACAAGAATGCGTTCAATAATGCGAACTGGATGAAATACTTCACACTCTCCGCATGTTGCATGTGCCCAGCTATTTGTCCGATACAGTGCTGCGCTACGACATTGAAGCCGTGGACTACGAAGTCACAACTGGTGTGCCATAAGGATCCGTGCTAGAGCACATTTTTGTGGAACATCATGCACGATGGCAGATTGAGATTCAAGGAGAGCACAATTCATTGGTTTTAAGGACGATGTATCAATCCTTGTGTCCGCAAACGTTCACGGAGATGGTGGCCATTGCGGAACATGCTAAGTATAGTAACGGCTTTGGAATAGCTAGCTGCGAAGCATCTAAGGCTGGCTACCCATAAGACGGAAGCCGTATTTACCAGCAGCCGTAAGAATGGTGGTGCTGATAATTGGTGACAGCATCATAGAGTCTAGGCCATACATGAACTACTTAGTGGATCATTGACTTAGCGTGCGTGACCCAATGGGATACGATATTGAAAAAGCTGGGATTGCAAAGGTAGCCCTTGCTATAAAAATGACTGACTTCGGTACACCAAGGCAGCAAGCATATCAGGTTTTGGCTGGGGTGTGAAGTCTATTATTCTCCATGATGCGAAAGCTTGGTGTGACACATTGAGGCGCATCTCATATACACGAATTACAAACTACACGTAGCGCTTGTGAGCTCTTAGAGTCTTATTCCTTACTCAAATTCTCAGTGGTCACATGGCTGTTTTGAAATGAACCCGAACTAGTCTCAAAATTGTCCTGAAGTGGTTCTGAAAAAATCGTGAACTTACCCCGAAAGGATCTCGAACAAGTCCCGAAATGGTCCCTTACTAGCCAAAATTATCAAGAACTAGTCCCGAAATGTCCCTAAAATTTTCCTGTACTGTTCCAAAACATTCCTAAACCAATCCCGAAATAGCCCTGAACTATCTGAAATGGTCTTTCCTCAATTGAATGCAGGCAGTAGCGTCCACCTAATCTAGATGACTTCTTAAATTCTTCCGTGACTTCAAACAATGAAAGCTAATGGCTCTCGACTGGTCCCAACTATAGCCCTTCAAATGGAGAGTAGTGAATTGCAAGCAGCTGTGAGTCGCGCACAAGCCAGCACCTTGCAAGCTATTCTGATGCTAAGCAACAAAATAGCAAAATTTGTATGTGTCGCGTATAGAGCAGCATTACCACTAACTAGTTAAGTGGAAGTTACCTATCGCGCAAAAACGGCAGGTTCACCACTCCAGAATGACAAATGTGGACTGCCCGTTCTCCAATTTAGGGAAAGAGGTTGCTTTAATAAGGGACCACAAACTTCTTAGGCTGATGGCGCCTCCAGTTTATGAAACTCACTACTTACCATCCAAAAAGAATAAACGCTAGGGTGCAAATATGTACATAACTCCAAAGGAAGCATATTTATTTTAAAAAGCCAAATTACTTAAAAACTTAATTTGACAATGCCATTCCTGAGAGTTATGCCACCAAATCATCACATACATCAGTCAAAGCCTGTTCGAAACACCATTGTACGAGGTCGGCATGGTCCAGAGAAGAGGGTGAGACAGTTGTGGTTGAGACGTCGGTCGATGAAGCAGTTGTATCTGAAGAAACTGTGGTCGAAGCAACGGTAGTTGAGGCGGTTGTGCTTGTAGAGTCTACAGATGAAACAGTTGTATTTGAAGAAATTGTGGTCGAAGCAACTTTAGTTGAGGGTTTTGTTTTTTTATGTTTTACAATCCGGGCTAGAAGGAAGATATTTAATATTTTATATTATTCGAAAGGGGTTTGGGAATGTAAGTCTATTTAAGACAAAAAATCCTGAGTACCAAGTACTCATGAAACTTGGTGTGTTAACATCTGTATACGACTTGGCAAAGCAAATTAAACATAATTTTTCATTTTATTTTACTAACTTTGGCAGGATCCGTACACGACTTTTTCATAACTCCTAAGTCTCAAAATTTGCCTGAAGTAGGCCTAAAATGGTTCTGAAAAAATCGTGTACTTGCCTGGAAATAATTTCAAACAGGTCTTCAAAGGGTCCCGGAACGGTCGAAACTGTGGTACTTGCGCCAAAATTTTCCTAAACTAGTCACGAAATATTTCGAAAATAGTCCTATGTCAAATGGTGCAGAACTAGTCGCAAAATGTTCCTGAAATAGTTCTAAACAGTACCCGAAATGATACAGAAATAGGAAATGATCTGCACCACGCCCAGAAACGATCGAAAAAGTCGTGAACTTGTCCCAAAAAAGTCCAAAACTGGTTCTAAAATAGTGCTGAGCTTGGCCCGAAATGGTCCCGAACTAGACGCAATATGATGCCGCACCAGCCAAGAAATATTCCTGAAATAGTCCCTAAATGGTCCTCAAATGCTCGTGAATTAGTCCATAACATATTGATCCTGGAAAGGTGCCGAAACCATCCCGAAATTAACCCAGTCTAGTCCGCAAATAGTCCTGTCCAAGTCCTGAAATGGTCCTGCACAAGTCCTGAAATGGTCCTGCAGAAATTTCGAAACAGTTGCGAATTAGGCCCGAAGCGGATCCGCACTAGGCTCCAACTAGTCCCGAAATAGCACTGAACTACATAGATCAGATATGTTCACAAAACATAGTTACAGATTTTATGCTCAGTTAGGGCAAATTTAAACGATACCGAGAGATAAGATGTTTATACATCAAGTAACACTCACAATCCACGAGGACCACAGCGAAGGCAGCCACAACTAGTATCAGCAACAATTTCATCTTTACCACGCGAAGATATTCTACAAAATACGCATTTATATTTAATTTGATGTCTCTTTTATAGCATAATTTTATCTAAGGAGGAATCGGGAAATAAATAAAATAGAATTCATTTTTTTTTATACATCCGGACTCAACATATATTTACCCAGACAATATAAATAACAGCCCGAAAAAGTACCCAAACAATAACATATATTTTCAATACATAGTTATGTGGGGCTACTATTTATTTGGCAAACATATGAAATTGTCTTACCCACACGCTTAAATTAAAAATTTAAATATTTACATACATCTTGGGGTGGTCCTTAAAAATATCAATTTGGGGTTCGCTAGCAGGGTTTGAAATAAGTGAATTTTTCTAGTCGCAAAAATTTGACAAAATGGAAAAAAAAACAAGTAAGAAAGTCTAAGTTCGGACGGAGCCGAACATAAAATACCCGGCGCAAGTATTAAATATATGTTTTCCACCTTTCCGAAAGCTACCGCTACATGGTAAGCCGGGGCGTATCAATTTTGAGTAAATTAGAGTCCTTAAATTTCGAAATTTTGAAGTTTCAAGCATTTCTGAAATTTACCGTTATATGAAAAGCGGCCTCAATTTTAGTCCGATTTCAATAATTTTCAACGTTTTGCTTTTATGTGGCAAGCACAATAACCATACCGTGTTTGGTACAAATTGGTAGAACGGTTACCGAGATACATACATATATGTGATCATAAGTGGGCGGTGCCACGCCCATTTTCCGAAATTTTATCACAAACGTATTTCTTGGTAAAGAATTGTTGCAATCATCTATTTTGAATAAATTAGCTTTAATATTTACCTTGGATAAATGGAAACCTACATACCAAATTTTGTTGAGATATCTCAATTTTTGCTCGAGTTATCGTGTACACGGACGGACGGACAGACAGACATGGCTTAATCGACTTCTCTATTCATTGTGAGCATTTATGTATACATTTGTCTATATCTATCTGGATTCATTTTGGCTGTTACAAACAATCGTTATGTGAACAAAATTAATATACCCTTGTGCACAAGTTCGCTCGGGTATAAAAATACACACATAATAGGGTGGTCCTTAAAAATATCAATTAAGGGTTCGCTAGCACGGTTTAAAAAAAATGTGTTTTAATGACAACAATTCGACAAAATGCAAAATAAAAAATACATTTGTACATATTAGGGTGGTCCTTAATAATATCAATTTATGGGCCGCAAGCAGGGTTTAAAATAAGTGATTTTTTCAAATCGCAAAAATCGACAAAATTTTGATGATTGAAAAAATTTTAAATTTAGCATGTAAAATTTTAATGTTTTCAAGTCAAAAATTTTGCGACTTTTTTCAATTTAACAAAAAAAAAATATTTTTTCAAGCGTTGGTGCGATACTTCACTTTTTTTAATTTTAAAATTCTCGTAGATGTGTACATTTTGCACGTAGAACCAAATAGAGACGTGCTAATAAAAAATTTAGATGTTAATATTTTTAAGGACCACCCTTGTTCATATGTCTCTATGTATACTCTCCCAGAGAAAACTGCAGGAGGACAGAGGTATCCCCAGTTACTCCATATCCGGTGATTCACGGATGCCTTTCTTTGCCAAGCCACGCTATTTCCCGGAAACAAAATTAGCGTGAATAGAAAATATTTCGACGCGGTTGATAGGAAGGTCAGACATTAATTAAGAAATTTTTAGTACAGGCGGACACCCCCGATATCACATCGGGGATCTTATACTTCGTAGTAAACAAGACCTGTTCGATCTTGCTGGGATTGACTGCGAGGTCGCAGTTAGCCGACCACCTAAGTAGTTACCAAGTTCCGGTAACTTTGAGTCTGGGTATGCAAAAATCGTCGCCTAACCATAAGTGCCACATCACCTGCATAGGCATACCCGCCAGACAGTTAGAGAACACCAGTTGGCGAGGTGACCATATTGACTCTGCGCTGTATGCAGGTGCTCTCCCACCCCGTCATTTTGACGAAAATCTTAAATTCGCGCGAAAAAATTGTAAACGCAAGTAGTTACACAGGGTTTTTGAATTTTCTAAAAAAAAAAAAACAAAACATTTAAGTATGTCGCCTAAATTGCTGTTTCTTAGTTATGCATGTACATTAGAGTAGTCCGAAAATGCATATGAAAAAAGTAAGGTCCGAATTTTAAAGCGCTCACCCCTAGGATTGTTCGATATAGATAAAATGTAGGCCTGTTTTTTTAATTCAACCTCATAAAGTATTTATAGGTCAGTCAAAGTGCTCAAAGTTTCTCATGTATTTTATATGGAAAAAAAAAACAATTTCTCTTATAAATGGTATAGAACTCTTGAAAACTAATATTTTTTGATCGGAAAACTTTTTTTTCACTTCAGTGGACTTCAAATAATAATACCCAATTGTTTATAGTCAATATTGAAAAATGGCTAAATAAAAAGGTGGATAATATCTGAAGTATCCTGAAGAGAAACAGAGTTTTCCGACTGAAAAATATTGTTCTTCAGAATCCAATACCATTTCCATTTTCCTTTTTTCATATAAAATACACGGAAAATGTTGAGCGCTTTAAGCGACTCTAATTTTATTTTTTTTTGCCTTTTTTGATTTCAAAATAAAAAACAATGGGTGTAATCTTTTTCGATATAGAAAATCGTATGGTGTGTGAGCATTTAATTCTGACTTCACTCCTTTTGGACCATCCTAACTTCAAACAAATTTTGCACGTGATCTCCAATGCCTCCAAAGGTAAATATGTTTATGTCAAATTGTAAACATTGTACGGTTTTGAAGTAGTTTACTTTTACGCAAAATATTGTGTCTTCTTTCTACCTTCCGTTTAAACAATGCTCGTATAAATTTATTTTCGCAAACGTGCGCCTCGAGGCATACACAACTCGTGTTTATTTCCCTATATAGTTTCGACAAGTCGCTTTAATTCTTTAAGTAGAAATTTTCTAATGACAAGCAAGAATAATTGAGTTCTTCCATCCAGTAGAGGAAAATGTCCTTTTGGCCGGAAATTCAAAGGAAGTGAAATCACTGTCCAACACTGGTTGATCAACACGAGCAAATGCTATATGTTATGAAAAATGATATCTCTCTGACCAACTTTGCCGAAGACAGTGCTAGTCCAGAGGGTTAAAATGTGTACCTTTTCACCGAAAGTGGAATTAATATATAGAAAATATATGTATATAAAAAATTTTATGAGGTCAGCGTTCTTCAGTAAAATTTGGAAAACTTTTTAACCCTGTCACTTATACCATAACAGGTTTTTAGTCCCTTATTTGACCTTAGGAGTTACTTAATCTGAGAATTAAGAAAAAATTTGATTCAAAAAATAAAAAATAAAAAGATATATATGTATCTAAAAATATATTGAAATAGAATACGTCTTGCGCTTCGGTATATGTATGTAGATGACATGCTCAATTGTTGTAGTTGTAATTTTTAGAGCTTCACAAAAACGCTTATTACAGCAGAACTATTGAAGCGATCTCAAAGAAAAAAGGGGTGTTTCAAAGATGAAATTCCATATATACCGACAGATTCATTATTTTCAAACTATATTTGGGAGGGTTGCCATCTGTTAGAAAAATTTAATTCAACTTGAATTGCGTATTCTACGTATAAGATTAGGGTGTGTGGCTTCGACACAGCCCGCAGGTCACGACCAAGGCGCTGGCCTGATCCTTTTTTTAACAATATCTACAATGCAGAAAAAAAAATTTTCCTAAAAATTAAAACAAACAATTTTTCTTCTTAACACAATAAAATCTAAGAATCAAGAGTAAAGCAAGTTAAGAAAAAGAAAAAAAGTTATTCAAGAAAGAAGAAAAATGTGTTTCCAAAAATTTAACGAAATAAAAGAATAATATTATTTTAAACAACTAAAACTACGAATAAAAATATGAAAATAAAAATGTGTGTGAAAATTTAAAAAAAATTAAATAAATTCATATATATGTACGTATGTACATATACATATACATATATGTATGTATTTCCCTTTTTAAAACCATCTACATTAATAAAAATGTTGTGTTCGTATGTCACGGTCGTCAAAACTCGAGAACGGCTGAACCGATTTGAATAATTTTTTTTTTGTATTGTTCGGTGTAATACCAGAACCAATGATATCGCAAAAAATTTGAGGGTTGCCACATATTTGAAAATTTTTAAACCCAATTATATTGATAAAATAAATAAATCATTACAAATGGGTCCCAAATTAAAGTGGTTTAAGAAAGATAACTGCTGGAAATATTGTTGATGATAGTTGCCACCTATTTGAAAATTTTAACTCAGTCAAAATGATAAAATAAATGAAATATTGCCAAGTGAGTGTCAAACTAAAGAATTTTAAGAAGGCTTACAGCCGAAAGTATGTTTTTTGAGGGTTGCCACCTGTTTGAAAATTTAACTAAAGTACATCGACAAAATAAATTAAATATTACAATATGGCAATCAATTCAAAGAGGTTTAAGAAAGATAACTTTTGGAAATATTTTTGAGAAGGGTTGCCACGAATTTTCAAATTTTTACTCAGTTAAATTGACAAAGTAAATGAAATATTGCTATGTGGGTATCAAACTAATGACTTTTAAGAAGGCTTACAGTCGAAAATATTTTAAAGGAGTGTTGCCACCTGTTTAAAAATTTAGCGTAATTTAATTGATAAACTAAATGATATATGACTATATAGATTTTAAATTTAAGAGGTTTAAAAAAGATAACTGCTGGAAAAATTTTTGAGTAAAGTTACCACATCTTTTAAAATTTAAACTCAGTTATTTTGATAAAATAAATGAAATACGGTAATTTGGGTATCAAACTTTAACTAAATTTAATTGATAAAATAAATAACTTATTATATATGTAGGTGTCAAATTAAATAGGTTTCTGAAAGACAACTGTTGAAGGGTTTCAACCTATTTGAAAATTTTATTTCAATTAAATTGATAAAATAAATGAAGTATTGCCATGTGGGTGTCGAAACTA